GCGGGAAGCCTGCTTCTCCCTCTCCCTCTCCCCCTGCTTATGGTCCCTCTCTTTCTGTATCTCTCTCTGTCAAATAAATAAGGTCTTTAAAAAAAAATCTTTAAAAATAAATAAATAAAAATTAGGAAATTCTGTTTATGTAAAGTCACCACAGGAGAAGGAAAAGACGAACCACTTTTCTCCATTTGGTGAAAAGATAATTGCAACATATATAACAACAAAGGATAGACATGGGCAAAAGACGTGAAGAGGAAATTCCCAGAAGAGGATACACAAATGGCCTATGTACATAGGAGAAGATGCTCGATTGCATGTGTAATACGGATCATTCAAATTCATACTGTAATGAGATTTATAACTGCTAGATTGGCAACATGAAGAAGTCTGATGGCTCCAGATGTTGGAAAAGATTTGGATCAACAGGAACTCTAATATACTTCTGATATAGTTCTGATGGGGCTGGAAACATGCCATGATTTTGTAAACTTGAGGTGCACACTCTGTCACCCAACAGCTCCTCTCCAAGGTAAGTGCTCTTGGGAAACTCTTACAAGTGTGCGCCACAAGACAAATAGAGGACGTTCGTGGTGACACTGTTCATGATAGCAGAGTGGACATTATCTAAACATTCAAGGGTAGAGTAGGATGAAAATGAATAAACTCTATCTGCAGCACATAGATAAAAATTAGACACAATGTTGAGTGAAAATGCAGGTTATAGACAATTTTGTACAATGTAATCATTGGTTTTTAAATTCAGCAACAAAAAATAATATAGTATTAGGTAATGCATATATATTTGTTAAAACTATAAAAAATGTAGATGGGTGATAAAGAAAATTCAAGATAGTGATTATCTCTGGGGGTGGGGCAGGCGAGGGAGCAGCAGAGGAGAAAAAGGCAAGGCAAAGACCCCCCAGGCTTTGGTGGTGTACTAGGGTTTGAGATGGGTGACTGATTTATTGGGCATTCGATTTCAAACATCATACTTAGAAGATGAGGGGGAGGGGCGCCTGGCCGGCTCCGTGGAGTGTGGGACTCTTGATCTCAGGGTCGTGAGTTCCAGCCCCACGTTGGGTGTGGCGGCTATTGAAGAAGAAGGAAAAAAAGACATCTGAATCTTTTTTTTTTTAAATAATCTCTACACCCAATGTGGGGCTGGAACTGACAACCCGGAGATTAAGAGTCACGTGCTCTACCGACTGAGCGGACCAGCTGCCCCAGAGACATCTGAGTCTTAGAGTGTCAGCCCTGGGCTGGCCGTGCAGAATACATTCTGGAGCTGCCCTTGGCTCCCAGGCCCTCGGGCTGCAGGCTGAGGGCCGGCCTCATGAGCCTGAAGCTTGGTCTGTGGACCTTGGTGCGTTTGTGTGCACCCGCTCTGGAGGAACATGCAGACAGGGAGAAGTTTCAGGGAGTGCTTAGAGATTAGAAGAAGAGAGGAGGGGAAGCAGAGCAGGAAGGCGGGAAAGGAGACCGCACCCCCGAGCAAGGAGCAGGAGCAGCGAGAGGGGGGCGGGGGGGGGGGTGGTCCACAAGTCCTCGCGCTCAGCCTGCAGGCCAGCCTCTGTACTGGGCACTTGAACTTTGTTTCCTTTCTTTTCGAAATAGTCACAACTTTAAAAGATAGTTTTTATTATCCTGACTTTCGGAGAGCCGAAATAGATCCTTCAGCTGGTAAGTGAAGGATCTGGGAGTTGGTCTGACGCCCCACCCTGGTCTTTCTGCAGCACCACCTGGGACTGGGGCGCGGGGGCTGCAGAGATGCTGGCAGGAGGGAGCGCTGCTGGGAGGAGATGGGTCCAGCTACTGGCTGCAGCATCCCGTTACCCTCATCCTCTCCCCCAAGCCACGGGCTGGACCGAGGAGGCCGGCGTTGGGGCCCCTGGCCAGCTAGAGAGGGGTTGGAGGGGAAGCAGCCTGAGTTGCCCGGCTGAGCTGGCCGGCACAGGGGCGCCTCTAAAGGCCTTGTGTGTCCTCAGGGGTCCCTAGGTCCTGGCTTCAGATCCCCAGATATGTTCCCTTAAGCCAGAAGGCTGGACAGACTCTACACCCTTTCTCATTCGATAGTTCTGCGATTCCCTTGTTAGAGATCTACTGTTTTTCAGGGCACCAGATGCCTAGTTTCATCCCACACATTGTAAGTTTGGCTCCAAAGCTGAGAAATGGGGGTCCACAGAAGGAAGTGGTTATCACAATCAGGGGAACAGGGGCCTTTTCATGAGGGGAACAGAGATGCCCACATCAGCGCAGAGCTCAGACACAGAAGGGTGGGGACAGGGAGTCATACAGAAAGAGGCAGGGGCAGGACCCCAGGGGTGGGGGACAGGGCACGCAGACCCGGGGAGGCGGACAGAGGGGTTCACACAGCAGCCACAGCCTCAGTCAGACGGAGTCGGAGCGAAGCCCGCGCGCAGACAGACCAGCAGCCGGCAGGACAGAAGAAGCAGAGAGCGGTGGCTGGACAGGCAAGGGGGCAGGAGAGGGGAGAAGGCGCTGGCCTCCACGGGCACTCTTGTCCATACCACGCGGGAGGGCTGGCCACCTAGGCGCTGCAGTTCCAGAAAGGCGTCCAGTTCCTCTTGGCTCTGCAACAAGGGGGCCTCCCGGGCGCCCATGCATCCCACTGCCTGCAGTTCGCTCCTGAAACACACGTGGCCACCACTGTCCTCAGTACCTCCTGGCTCGCGAGGGCCACCAGGGAGGAACCCCGCCCAGCCCAGCCCTTCCTGTCGGCACAGAAGCAGCCCGACCCAAACCGCCCGCCTTGGGGCTGTGCTTTGGCAAAGCTGCAGGCAAGGGTGGCCCCTGCTGGCCGTGGGACAGTACTGTCCTCCGGAAGGACGCCGGTGCTCGCAAGAGGCCACGGGCAAGCCGGAGGAGGCTCACTCCTTGCCTGGTGTGTGATGCCAAGCTTTGCCCCTCTTCAGCCCAGGACTCCCCAGGGGCAGAATTAGTGCCTGATGGTGAAACGTGACCCCTGGAAGACCCTGAGATACAGCTGGCCCCACATGAGGGGCAGCCAGGACGTCTCTGCCGTCGACTGGCTGCTCTCGGGAAGGTTCCATGAGCCCTGTGGGCAAGGCTTCCCAGCCGAGCTGCCCGCAAAGACGGTTCAGGGGCCCAGCACAGGGTCCTCGCCTTTCCCCCACCAGCTCAGCCAGCTGTGCCCAGGAGCTGCTCACCTGAGGTAAGGGAACCTGCCCGTGGGGACCACGGCCAGAGCAGAGAGTCAATGACCACTCACACTGAGCGTTCCACGTTGACCCCCAGACCTTCCGTTTCTGACTTCCTCTGTCTTTGGGGATGTGGTCAGGGGTTTTCCAGGCGAGGGGGACAGCTGGTCCCTGTCTTCTGCCAAGCAGACTCACACAGACCTCGTCCCCCGCCCCCACAGGGCTGTACTGTGATGCCTAAAACATCCTGTATCTGCGTCAGCCTGGGGCATCCAACCAGCAATGCCCCACCCCAGGGACACGTCTCAAGGAACCTCCCGAAGTTCTCTGGGCTCACTTTCCTCGGCTGTAAAGTGAGGAGTTTGGGCGCCATGATCTCTGAGTCCCTTCCAGCTCTGACACCCTTTATGGGTCAATGAAACCCAGAGTGGGAGGTAGAGGCAATATGGCCCCACTCCGTACCTTCCCCTCCACGGCCTCCCCCACCTGCCCCAGAGACTGGAGGGACGCTGGGGGGAGCCACACTTTGAAAAGCAGGGTCATCCTCCCCAAAGGCCCGAGAGAGGCGGGGTTCGGACTCTCCAGGGAGGGCCCAGGGCCCAGGTGTCCTCCACTCCTGGCATCCCTGCCCAACCACTGTCTCCTGGGTCCGGGACTTGAGGGAAGGAGGGGCAGGGGGTCCCCTGGGGGTTACCTGCTCAGTGGGTCCTGGAGCTCCCTGCCTGGCCCCCAGCTATGTCTTTTGAACGGGTTGTGGTTGTGGCCATGGGCACGGAAAGCCCCCGACCTTCGGAGGGGTACAGCTTGGAAGCCATCTCCCTCCTCCGTTTTCCCCTCCGCCTCCGCCTCCTCGTCTTCCTCCAGCTGCTCTCTGGACTCGACCACAGACAGGCAGCGGGCAGTGTGGCCTTGGGGCACCAGGTCTCCACCTGCGAGGAACACCTCCGGGACGTCTCCGTTCATGGGAGGCACACGCAGGCCAGTCTGAGTCAAGAAGACAGAGGGGGTGAGAGGCGTTCTAGAACCCTGGAACTGGGCCGTGTCACAGGCAGCCTCCCTCCCCTGAGGTGCGGAACAGGAGCATGGCTGCCCCAGAGCCCAGAGGAGCAACCAGCTCTGCTGACTCCCGGTGCAGTGTTCTTTCCAGGGCATGAGGACATCCTCATTCACCCGTGATTCTTCCACATCCTGAGCACCGGTTCAGCAGACAACCCAGCCAAGCAGAGAGAGACAGATACCGTTCCTGTCCTCAAGGAATTCACAGTCTGTGTGCATGTGTGCACGCGTGTGTGCGTGTGCGTGTGTGTCTGTGCGTGCATGTGCGTGTGTGTGTGTGCGTGTCTGTGTGTGTGCGTGTCTGTGCGTGTGCGTGTCTGTGCGTGTGGGTGCGTGTCTGTGTGCGTGCGTGCGTGTCTGTGCATGTGCGTGCGTGTTTGTGTGTGTGTGTCTGTGCGTGTGCGTGCATGTCTGTGCGTGCGCGTGTCTGTGCGTGTGGGTGCGTGTCTATGTGCGTGTCTGTGTGCGTGTGTGCGTGTCTGTGCGGGTGCGTGCGTGTCTGTGTGCGTGTGCGTGCGTGTCTGTGTGTGCGTGCGTGTCTGTGCGTGTGCGTGCGTGTCTGTGTGTGTGTGCGTGCGGAGACAAAAGCCCAAATCACAAATGACTACGCGGCCGGAGTGCCCAGGGCCACAGGGAAGATGCAACAGAAGGCTGCGTGCTGTCGAAGGACCGAGCGCGCAGCCAGTTGGAAAACTCAGTAAATGGCTCCCGGAGGAAGCGAGCGGCCCTTGAGGGGTCCAGAGCGCTGAGTGGTTAGCATCTGGCCAAGCTGGGGAGGGAGGGGTCTAGGCAGACAGAGCAGCAGGGAGGAAAGTTCACGAGAGAGTATTCTGGTTTCTCCCTTGCAAGGCCGGTCATAGGGGAAGGAACAGAGCCGGAAGTCCTCCCTCCAGAAGCAGAGAGAAGGGCACCACCCTTCGCCACATTGAAATCTCTTCTCTCCCCCGCGGGCACTGTTCTCGCTGCCCAGCGCTCCCGGCAGCCCTCGGGCCTTCCTCAGTGTGTCTCGGAGTTAAGAACCCTCAGGAGCTCTTCAAGTTGAAAATGAGAAGCCCCACTTCAGAATGAAGTACCAAATACCGAGCACCGAGGTGGTGGAGGGGCGGGCGGGACCGCTCCTTTCCTGCGGGCCTCTGCCCTGCTCGCTCCTAGGCCCTGTCCCTGTAGGCCTCCTGCTGGAAGGAGTCTCCCAGGGCTCCCCCAGCTACAGAGCTGTTGGGAGGGCCTGGGAGGACCAGGAAGCGGTGAGCCAGAGTCCCCCCCCCCGCCCCAGGCTCCCTGTGAGGGTGCCGAGCCTCCCCCAGGTCATCTTACTCCCCTGCATCCACACCAGAAGTCCGATTGTTGGAAAGTTGTTCCTTCAAGCTATTCTTCTGACTGTCACCACAACCTGTCCTCAGGCCTCGCCCCAGCCAGCACCGCAGAGAGGCGCCTGTGCCGACCCCAGCCACCCAAAGCAAGGAAGGGGGTGAGCGCTCTGGCCCATGCAGATGTACCTGCGGCCCCACCAGTGGCTCTGGGGACAGACAGGGAGAGGCCTGGGCAGCTGGACCATGCTCCTCACGCCCGGGAGCCATGTAGGGGGCCAGCCGCCAGGACAGGTCTGCTCTCTCTGTGTCCGCAAACGTGGCCTGGTGCATCTGATGCGCTGGCTAGAAATGGAATGTGCAGCTCCACAGCGAGTGGGACGCCCTCCGAGGGCCAGAGCCTCAGCCTGCCATCCAGTGGTCTCCAGAGCTGATATTCGGGGACAGGAGGGAGACATGCCCAGAAAGTATTGTGAGAGGCTGGGGTGGAGGCGAGAGGAGGACCCAGGGTGCTCACTGGGGACAGAGAAGCAGAGGTTGGAAACGGGACAGAGACCTCACAAAAGGGGCAGACCGGCTGGAGTTACCAGCCCCAGCTTCCATCTGCTTTTCCTGCCCCAGCGGGGTCTGTGGGGCTGGATTTGGTGGGAAGCCTTTCCTCCCCTCCACCCCGGTGGATGCCACCTGCTGGAGCGGGTGCTTGCTTCCTGGCCTGGTGGACAGAGAGTTCTGGTCCTGAAATCCCGCCCGTCTTCCTCCAGCTCAGGCCAAATGGAATCTGGCCTCTTCTGGGAGACCCACCTTTTCCTAGTACCTGCTCGTTCATTCCTGGCCTCCGCCCTCTGTGCAAATGGAACCAGTGGGGCTCCTTCTCCCTCCTATCTTCTTCCGTTTCTCTCCATTTGTCCTGTTCTCTCAACTCCACCCCTCCACGCCACAATGCTAATAATTTCTATTCTGTCCTTCGAAGAGATGAGGTGTAGCGAGGTGACCTCAACCCCTCCCAGAGATACTCTTCCTCCACTCTTGGAACCGCAAGCTGGCCCCGTGGGGCATTCACCCCTCTGCTCCACCAGCTCCCGCCAGGCGCCTCCCGTCTCCCTCAGCCTCCTGAACTCAGGACATGGTGCAGGGCAGTGGCCAGGGCTGGCTCTCATACAATGGTTTTATTTAGCCCCCAAATGAGGTCCCATCATGTCACATCACTGCTTCCGCGGAGCAGAGATAGGAGGTTCTGAAATAGATCTGGGGTCAGATGCTCGAGAGGAAGGCATGGGAGGAAAGCAGGAAGGGGCTCTAAGAAGCCATTCTTGTCTCTGGATGGAACAGTTTCCCCACCAGCACACACCATCAGCGTCTCCTGCCCCTGCTCTGAGTGGGTGCCGTCCACCGACCGCACTGGTCATCAGTGGTTTGCTGGGCACACCGGGGTGCTGGGGTGGGAGCACGCAGTACTTTAACAGAGAGAGAGACCTCCGTTATTCCAAAGTCTGACACTGGGGCGCCTGGGTTGCTCAGTCAGTGAAGCATCTGCCTTCGGCTCAGGTCATGGTCCCGGGGTCCTGGGATCGAGCCCCATGTCAGGCTCCCTGCTCAGCGGGGACTCTGCTTCTCCCTCTGCCTCTGCCCCTCCCCCCTGCTCATGCTCTCTCTCTTGCTCTCTCTCACGCTCTCATTCGCAAGCGTTCTCTCTCTCTCTCTCTCGAAGAAATAAAAAAAATCTTAAAAAAAAAAAGTCTGAGACTATAATCTCCTGAGGGTGCTCGAGTGGCACCGAAGCTCATCGGGCTGGCCAGCTCTGCCACTTTCGTGAGCCACATGACCCTGGGGCCCTGCTCAGCACTTTCGAGCTTCAGAACCATCTGTAAAATGGGAACGATACTGACCCTGCCAGGCTGCTGAGACTCAATGATAACATCATACAGAACGTGACCGACCGTGTGCTCGGCACATGCTAGGTGCTTCCTAAATGCTTGGCCTTGTTTTTATTTAGAGGCACAGAGAAGGCCAGACATGGAGAGATGGGGAGCTGGGGACTGGAAGGCCCGGGACAAAAGCAGGAATCAGCATCATAGGATGGACGCCCACACCTCTCTCTTAGAAAAAGGACAGCATGAAGAACTCGGGGCCGACGGTAACACAGCATGATGGGGACTCATGGCCATGAACGACCTCCGATGGAAAGGACAGCAGGTGGCCGGCATCTGGAGCGAGAAGGGCCGGTGGACCCTCGGAGAGAAGGGTGGGGCGGGGTGGTCTGGTCACGGGAGGCGGCGGCCGGCGGACTCTGTGGGCCAAATCTGTCCTGCCATCTTTTTTAAATGGCTGGGGAAAAAAATCCAAAGAAGAACGCTACTTTGTGACACAAAAATTCTATGAAATTCAAATTTCAGTGTTCATAAATAAAGGCTCTTTTGGGACACAGCCATGCTCATTCACTTACATATGGTCTGCGGCCACGTCTGCATTACGACAGCGAAGTTGTAGCTGCGACAAAGACCATCTGGCCCACAAAGCCTAAAATATTTATTATCTGGGTCTTTACAGAAAAAGTTTGCAGACTCCTGATTTAGAGCAACTGGGTCTCCAAATCTCAGGAAGGATGAGAAAGAGACCAAAGAGAGATGTTGAGGCTCAGTGCACACTAAGCAGGCACTGGGCCACAAGCCCGGGGGCAGGGGCGCTGAAGTCCCCAAGTGCAGCGCATTTCCGAAATGGCACCCGGAGCCTGCAGGGGAGGAGCTAACCCGCACCGAGCGCCTACATGACCTGTGGGATCCTCATAGCCGGCTCTTGAAATACATCATCATCCCCATTTTCCACATGAAGAATCAGGTAGCACAGAGAGGGAGAGTGACCTTCTCAAGGTCACAGGGCTGTGGGGGGAGCAGGTGTGTCACACTATAGAGCCAGATTTCTTTCCTAACGTGGAAGGCAAGCTCCCAAAGAGAGCAAGCGCCTAGCTTTGAAAGAAATCTGGAGACACTGGTATTCACGGCCCCCCATGTCTGCCCCTTCACCGACCCAGCCAAAGAAAGGAAGCAATTAGATGGGGGTCCCGGAGAAATCAACTTTGTCCTTTCTACTTCCTCTGTTATCTTAGAAATCTGAGGTGGGGGGCAGGCGGGGCTTCTGCTAAAACCGCGGCCCGCATCTACCCCGCTAGGCAAAGCGGACTGCGGGCAAGCCTGGCGGGCCCTTTCACAGCCTGGGGGGCTTCCTGGGTCTGGCCCTGGGGTCCTGAGTCTCCCAAAGGGGGCAGTCATGAGGAAGACCCCCAAAAGAACCAGATAATAAAGCGTGGGAAGGAAGGGAGAGCCAGATGTCCTGGTCTGCTGGGTTCTCCCAGCCCTGGGGGGACAGGGTCATGGAAAACCCTTTGATGGTTCAAAATTTAACCTGCCGGCTTGTTCTCCGCTGGCCAGTAAACCATTAATCCAGCAGTGTCCTCAGATGGGGCCGGAGCTGGGCTTCTCCCAGCCTCAGATCAAGAAAGCCCCAGTAACCACAGTTGCTTCCTGCCCTGCTCCCCAGACACCCCGCTCCATGGCAGGTCGCGAACACCCCCCTCCCCGGACGGACTGTCTCTCAGTGTGAGGCGCATGAGAGTTCACCACGGTGTCCTTTCTGCCGCCAGGGAGTAGTATCCCAATTCCCAAAGGCCAAAGGCCAAAGGCCAAGGGTGTATGCAGAGGGCTTTCATTCATTCAGCGGACATTGCTTTGGCACCTACAGGGGGTCAGGCTGGAGAGGGGGACCTAGCAGGGTCTATGCACAAATACGGGCACCGTCCCTTACCGGGACAGGGGCAAGACAGGCAAAAGCCGTCTATCTGCCCACATGAGCTTCCAGGCTGCTTTTTTTTTTATTTAAAAAAATTTTTTTAAGGTTTTATTTATTTGAGAGAGAGAAGAGAGCACATCAGTGGGAGGGGGGAGGGGCAGAAAGAATCTCCATCCCAGGACCCCAAGATCATGACCTGAGCTGAAGGGAGACACTTAACTGCCTGAGCCCCCCAGGCGCCCCCCCCCCAGGTTGATTCTGAGAGGCACCCACCTGCTTACAGGACCCACAGGGCAGAGTTATCGATTTTATTGTTAGGACTTAATTCCGGAAGTCCAAAGCCAGAGAGCCGGCATCCACAGCCCCGGAAGGTAAGCACACCCCCCTCTCCTTGAGACGGCAGTCAGGCATCTCCTCAAACACCTGCCCTCAATCAACCCCCCTGCCGCCGACACGCTGAGCTCACGAATCAGTCAGGAATTGTGCGGCTTTGGGCCTCCAAAGTTGACCACTTTTTCTGTTTAATTGGTTTGCAAACTGAAGCCAGGGGCCCACCCTCTTCCTTCCCGCTGGGCCTGTGAACGCATCCTACCAGGGGCTCACGCGACTGGAGAGCCTGGGGCAGGGCCCGGCAGTCCTCGTCCACCTCCGGCGCATTTGCTCCTTGGCATGCATTCAGGGTGCCGTGCCAGAGGGTGGGGCAAGAGAGGGTCTGAGGTTCAGAGGGACACACCTGAGAAGACTTTGGCCGCTGCGTCCCAGGGAATTAACCCATCACATCTCAGGGGACAGCCACAGTGGGAGGTGGACTGGAGTCTGGGAGTCCCTAGCTCTCAGGTGTGAGTTGGTGGCCCCTGAAATCTCACAATGGATGCCCAAGGATACAGGGAACTGTGTTAGGCCCTGGAGGGAGGGGACCCTGGATGAATGAGGATCTCGGGGCTTCACACTGCGCCATCCAGCCTCCCGTACCTCCTGAGTAAGAAAAGGAGACCAGTCAACACCGTAACGGATTTTGGTGTCAGATGGACTTGCGTCTGAGCCCCGCTGCTGCCATGTTCTTCTTAGTTGTCTGGCCTTATTAACTTCTCCAAACCCCATCTTCAGTGCGGGGATGACAGCATATCAGCCCCACCAAATCGTAAGGATTAAGAACGTACGATCGAGGGTTTGGCACCACTTGTCATACAAGTAGTAGGTGTGAACTGTTGGCCGCATGTGAGACCCCTATTTACACACTTGCACCCACCCCCAAACACACAATGTTCTCTGATTGAAAATGGGAGCTGAATGCAGGAGCCTGGTGCAGAAGCTACACATGGCCACTTCCTGGTGTTGAGGGGCTCTTGAGGGGCTCTGCCCCCAGGGGGCTCCGGTTCCTGGGGTGAGGACCCAGGGAAAGGGAAGAGGGAAACTCACCGGGCCCGGGAGGTGTCCCAAGGATGGGGGCCCTGCTCCCGCTCTCGGCTGCTGGCTTCCGTACAGGGTAGAGTCCCGCTTCAGGGAGCCCCTCTAAGAACCCAGTCCAGCACCTCAGTGGGGGCGCCTCTGTCGGTCCTTTTCAGGCTACTGCTCATGGTCCAAAAGTTTGCATAGGAGGGGGGCGCTCCTTCCAACCCAGACCAGCTGCCTCTTCAACTGCTCCAGCCCTTCCCCTCCCCGCCCTACTTCAAACACCCTAGAGGTGCTGTGCCCAGGCCTTTAACCCCTTGGGTGCCGTGGCAGGTCCCGAGGATCCCTGGGTCCCCTGTCCTCAGCACTCCCTGAAGAAAGCAAGGGGCGGCTGCCGGACTCAGGCCCACGTGGAAACAGGGAGAGGAAGCCAAGCTGGGGTTGCCCTGAGACTATGTGGGCACCTTCCCCCTCCCTCCAGCGGGACAGGGAGTGCTGAGGAGGGGAGAAAGAGGGCATTCCAGGGAAGGCCCACAGCTGGAAACCTACTTGACATCAGGGTCCTCCTGGGGCCAGGCAGGACCTTGGCCCACTCTCAAATTTGGCTGCAAAACTGCTGTTGGTCCCTTTAAGAGGCAGCTTCCAGCGGGGAAGGGCGATTACCGGCCACTGGGAGCCTGGAGGGCGGGCTTCTGCCGGGCTCCCCAGGGCACGGGCTCCCCCACCCCTGCCCCATCACAGCTTGGGGGGCTGAGTCCCCTCATGGCAGAGGACGTCCTGACCTAACAGCCCTCCCTGCCCTCCTCCTCTCAGGCCCTGTGGCCTGGTGGCCAAGGGCACGTTGCCGTCGAGGACCGTGGCTGGCTCTGCGAGCTCCCCAGGCCAGGGCCTCAGAGACCCCTGGCAACCTGTCCGTACAGCGGGGACCTGGGGTGACATGTGTGCCCGCGGTGGGACAGGAACGCTGGGCCCACAGCCCTTGTGCAGGAGACATGCCCCTGCCGATCGCCGGGGATCTGAACAAGCCCTGCTCCCAGGGTCTCTCCTGAGTGGGGAAACCAGACGACTGAGTTAGACGACCCACAGAACGTGGAACCGGCTCCAGAATTCTTCGTCTAGGTGACAGGACAGCGCTGCCACACGTGGAAACCGCGCCCTTTCCTGCTGGCTCGGCCCCAAACCACAGGAGCCACAGGGGCTGTTTCTCACTTCACAAGAACACATTTAAGGGTAGGGGGTCCTCGGGGATCCTCTTGTTAAACAACCTGCATCCAGAGGAGGACACAGGCTCCGAGGCGGGCGGGCTGTCACAGGGTAAGTCCCAGAGGACCCAGGGGATTAGGCCTTGCCGCTTCCCATCCTGTCGGCTTCTTGGGAATTCCTAGACCCGGGCCCACGGACTTTCTGCAGCCAGAGTCCCAGGGCCTAGTATGTGAAGTGGGTGGAAATCTGGACACCTGGCTCCTCCTGGCACCAGGGCGGGGTGTGTGGTGAGCCGGTGCCAGGAGGATAGAGGGCTGGTTTGCGGGGGGGAGAGAGGGCTTGTTTGCGGGGCGGGGGGGGGACCTGGAACACGGTGATGGCTGGGTCCCTATCTGTACGGCCTGGGGATCACACCTCCCCAGGGTGGTCTCCATGAGGGTGGAGAAGTGCTGTCTGCAGGTCCTCTCCTGTTAGATTTCTTCGAGAAGTTCAAAGGGCTCAGTCCTACGGCCAACTATCCCTGCTAAGTCTGTCTGTAGGTTTCATGGGCTCTTCCAGCCTCCAGTCCGGAGGCTCACATTCCATCCTGACTCCAGGGAACCTGATCTCTCCAGATGAAGTGTCTGGCTTTGGCCTTTGTTCAAGGGGCCTGTGACACTCACTGCTTCCACAGTGCTTTCCTCGTCATGTGTGTCAGACCTGGGTCCCCCCTGCCTCCTCCATCCCTAAGGGCCAGGAGAAGAAGTGCTGAGTTCTCCGGGAAGATGGCCCCAACTGTTGGGAAAGGAGTACCTCCTCGTGTTCAGGCTGGGGAGGAACCTCCCGTGGCACCTTCCAGAGTGAGGAACTCTGTCCAGGCCTCTAAACCACAACCCCTCCCACCACAGGTGAAGTCTTCACTGTTTTCAGCGGAGACTACACGGACAGAAAGCAGTGTGTTCCCTCCTCCAAACACTAGCATTCTAGTGCTAGGGGGCATGATGCCCGTCCAACCAGCCCCCTGCTCCTTCCCTGCCCTTCTCAACCTCAAGCTTCTGACCTCTTGCTTTCCCCCACTCTCCTAAGTCCCAGGTCTCCCCCAGAACACAACGAACAAAGCCAACATATCGTCCTCGCCCTCTGACCTGGCCAGTCCTGGGGTGTCCGAGCCGCAGCCCCCGAAGGAGGGAGGTGAGCTGGTGGAGGGCTACTCCATTGGGAGCCTCCCTTTGTCTCCACGTCCTTTTCATCCTTCCTGGGGCCCCAGCTCTGTGTGCTGGGCCCAGGAAAGGTTAAACCGGTTGGGCAGTCTCCCCCCCGCACCCCCAATAGCATCTAAACTGGGCAACTTGGTGGCAGGAACAAAGCGGGTGTTTGTTGGGCTTCCCTCCTGCCTGGGAGGCTGTTCTCAGACCACGGCATTCCTGGCTTGGACGGAGTCAGCTCAGAGCGGCTTCTCCCGGCTGCCGCAGCCAGAACCACGGCCTTTCCACAGGCCATGCCGAGGGCACAGCTCAGGGGCTGCAGGTGCTCGGGAATTAAAATGAATTCAAGTTTAGAAAAGCTAGTTCTTGGGGGAGCCCAGCGGGCTCAGTCAGGGAGCATGCAACTCTTGATCTCAGGGTCATGAATTTGAGCCGCACCTCAGGTGTGGAGATTACTTAAATAAAGGCAAAAAAAAAAAAAGCTAATTCTTAGAGAAAGGGCTAGAACCAGGCGTCAGGAGGTAGCTTTTTCAAGGTCAGTGAGTACATCAGGGCAGAAGGTCTCGTGGGGCACGAGGACCTTCCTTCCTCTCATCCTTCGTCCTCCCGCTGTGGGGAGAGGCTCACAGGCAAGGAAGGGTCAGGGTGATATGAGCTGAGTGGAGAGAGCAGAGAGGGAAGTAAGGGATGGAAGCAAAGGCGTTCAGGGGGGCAGACGTCTCTGCGCAAACAGGACCACAACACCTACAGCAAGGAGGCGGGAAGTCAGCTCACTTGCCCGGGAGCTGGGGAGCCCAGGGCCTGAGCTCACCCAGGTGATGAGAAGGCAGATAGTCAGCGTGGCATCTGTTTTTATTAGAAAACCCCATCTGGTCAGCACTCCCCCGACCCAGAACAGAGACTGGGTAGCCTCTGAGAGTCCCTCAGCCTTCACCTGATCTTCCAGCCTCTTCCGAGAGGGGAGGGCAGGGATGAGGGTCGAGTCGGGCAGTCTCCCGGCAGTCTCCCGGCAGTCTCCCGAGCGCCCCCTCCTGCGCACCTCCGAGTTCACACTGCAGCGCTGCAGCGGGCACCAAAGGGCCCTCGAGGCTCGAGGCTCGTTGCTAGAGGCATTCCTGCCTGTAGGGCTTCAGGATGGACTCCGAGGCCTGGTCCTTCACTCTGGTTGAGAGCAGGCAGGATCCAGAAGGTGGCAGGGGCTAGGGGATGAGAGACCGCACTTGAGAGACCCTCTGGAGTCTGGAAAGCACCTGGATCTCCTGGGCGGGGAGGGCCGAGGAAACCCCTCAGTTCTTCTTGGTCTTGGGAGTGTCGTACTTCCGCTTGCTGGAGTACCACAGCAGCAGGGGGATGCCGATGGACGGCAGCGTCATGACTCCGAAGGCCGCCCAGTCCAGCTGTGGAGGACAACAGAGGCCCTGCTTACAAGTCTGGATGAGGGCACGGGAGGGCCGGGAAGGAGGCGGGCACCGAGAGAGGGAGCAGCGCAGCCCAAACGTTCAGCAGAACCTCAGCACAAAGGCCTCTCTGGCCGCTCCCCGACAGAAGGGCTCTCTCCACACCAACCTATCTTCCAAGCTATGGTGCCCAAGGCCTCACCTGACCTGACCCAGACTGGAAGAGAATCTTCTCTAGCCCACCATGGTGTTCCCACTCAACCTTCCCAGCACTCTGCAACTCTCCGAATCTAAGCACATATTCTTTTAAACCTCAAAACAGACCCAGGACTCCAAAATGGGGCTCGACTCAGGGCTGCGTAGAGAAAAAGGGCAGTTTTTTGGTTCTGGCCATCATGATCTCATGGCCAAAAATCTCTAATCATGGGTAAATCAGGACATTTGGTGGCAGTCTGTGTCAGACCTGAAAGAACAGGTATGACAAGAACCAACAAACTAAACAAATCTTCTAAGGAGACCAAGAACTCCCACAACCAAAAGCGTGTGCTCATCCCAGGGGAAGAGAAAGAGGACACTGCGGAGCTTACAAAATGCGGGGAGAATCTCCTATCAAACTCCCGCTGAGCCAGGATTCCTCCCTGTCCAGGGGCGCTGGTAAAGCCAATCTGAAAGGAAGACAAGAAAGGCATTAAGGCAAATCCAAGTCCTTCTCATGTGAGAAAGGGCAGTCCTGACCGACCCAATCCGAAGCATGACATTCTCGGATCCCAAAGGCGCAAGAGCTTCCAGAAGATGCGGGAAAATAAAGAGCTGCATGATTCTCAGGGTGTTGTCGAGGAGTCAGTCGGGAGCCAGGAGACACATGATGAGCTTTTTCTCAACAAGGCAGGCCAGGCATGCAGCTGAAGTTAAACCAAATCCTCTTTGTTCACCTCAGGCTCTGGAAGAGTGGCTCACACCCCTGACCCCTCTGCAGGACGAGGTGTGTGATGGAAGGACTTGCCCTTGGCAACGGCTGCCCTGTTCCTCCAGTGGAAATGCTCTTCCATACCTCACCAACTGACAGGAGGCTCCAACGACCTAAGGAGCATTTGCGAAAGCACGGAGCCCCACCCAGACGCACACAGGAGAGGAGGGGCCGGGGCCGCAGCATTCCGCCCTGGAGAGCAGGCCGAGAGCTGCAGCCCTCTGCAAACAGCCTCGCTCAGAAGTGGCAGCCGAGCCTTTGATTTTGTGTTTCTTAACCTATCAAATACCGGGTAGAACCAGAGTCCTAAAGCTGCTTCTGAAAGCAGAAAGGACACAAGATGTGAAAACCGAACTAGGATTACAAGAATATGGTTCCATGTGGTTTGTAAAAAAAAATTCACAAAGGGCAGTGAATGTCAGAGACTCTAAGATTTCTTTAAGTCCTACGGTTGACCTGTTGAGTGTTTTCCCTGCTGTGCATTCACTATGCAGCCTTCAGCCCACTTTAACATCTTGTCAGAGGCCTTCATAAACTCACGGCCAGAGACAGTGTCCCCATCTTCTTGGTAGTCCCCAGATCCTAGCACACTATCGGGGCTCAGTAAGTGTCTGCTGACCTGTTTGACAACCGATCAAAGGATTGTTTACTACCGATTTTCTATTATACGTGAGAGAGAGAGACATCGAAGACAAAGTCCCGGCCTCAAGGAGTTTATGATTAAACTGGGAGGGGGAGTGGGTAAAGACCTACGCCTAAAAAAAAGAGGTACTGAGATAGCACACAGTTAAATTGACTGAAGGAGGCCGTCAGGGCTCTAGAAACTTCTATGCAGTCAGCAAACGCTTGCTGAAAGAGCAAGGACAAAACCGTGGGGTGTAAAAGCAAAAACAGAAACAAGGGCATGCAGTCCAAAGCTGGGTCTTGAGAGAAGAGGGAGAAAGAATGAGAATGGGGGGGGGGGGGTTGGAAGGGGCTCGGCCTCCTGAGGGTGGAATATGCCGGAAAGCTGGAGACAGAGGACAGCTACATGACCAGAGCATCTGCGGCAAGAGCTGTCCAAGCAAGGGAAAGACGGACACAGTGGAGACTGGGAATGAGCGCAGAAGATGGGAGGGAGGGGCATGGGCGACCACACACTGCGTGGCAAGCTGCATGGTCCAGATTAAAAGCAAAGCGGGAGGGAGGATGAGGAGGGGAGGCTATGGTTCTCCTCTCCCAACATCTCAACTGCTTCATTCTGGATCTTTACAATTTGAAACCTCCTTCCTTCCTAAGGGCAGCACCTCAGCTTCTGGTCCTTCTTACCGTCCTCAGAATTTAGTGGTTGCCCTGGAGAGTTTCTGCAAGTTTTCAAAGGCAAGCAGATCTAGGCCCATCCAGCTAAGGTTTGGGCAACTTACCACGACGGGCCCATCCTCCTGGGCCAGGTAAGTAACAGTTGCCGAGGTAAAGTTGAAATAGCCGGCCTTGAGCGGGCGCAGGACCACGGTGTGGGAGACGTTGCTAGCGCTGGCCCGACAGTCAAGGAAGCAAGAAGATGAAGCTGAAGTTGAAACATCCTTTCAACGTGTGGACTAGATGCACCGTTCACAAAAAGGCTGGCCCACGCATGTGATTTCATGCCTGCAATCCTCTGCGGGAATAATAAATACAGACCTTTCTCTAAGCCTGAAATGTGGGGTATAATAGGATGTCTTCCCAGCCAAACGTAAGGGGTCTCGGAGACACTCAATACACAGGTTCACGCTGTATGCAGTCCTGGGTTTCTGAAGTCAACTTTCAAAGCAACACATAGGACGGATGAAAAATCATTCTCACAGAAACTCATTGACTAACTGAAGGAAGACTGAAAATACAAAATAAAAACAAAAAAACCGAAAGAGAACACTATCCTCATTGGTAAATCTAAATACTTTCATTCACGGGGGGGGAGTTAATCTAATTCCACTCGGGAAATAACTGGTGGATGCCGATAAAACACCCACTGAATGAGAAATGTCTTTAGGAGGCCACCTGGGGCCTCCGTGCTAGCAGCCAACCGACTTTCTTCTAAAAGCGGCTTAAATACCCTCGTCCAGCCACAAACGGCCTCCTAAGTGTCTACCTTGTCCCCATACAGTATGTTGTAGTGCCTTATAACCTGAACTCAAGGACCCTCCTTCCTCAGGTCTACCCTCAATCACGCTCGATTTTCTACTGTCCCATCTTTTCTGGAGAGGACACAAAGAACGGCCACACGCAGCCAGACTATGTGAAGTGACGTTGCTGATTCGTTGGCAATGTGTCCGCGTCTTCCCCAACACCAGCCTTCACCACCCAGTGTCAAGGATACGGGGCAATCCGGTCCCATTTGACATTGAGCATTCCGGAGACAATGCCAAAGTCCTCCGGAGGGAAGGAATCATCAGATAACTCCACGTCTAACGCAGCGCTGCAAAATGGAGAGACAAAAGAGGTAAGTAAGTAACGGATACAGAAGTGAAGTAATCAGCAACTGGGGGCGCCTGGCCGGCTCAGTTGGAGGAGCACAGGATTCTTGATCTTGGGGTTCTGAGTTCGAGCCCCTCACTGGGTGGAGAGATTACTTAAAAATAAAATCTTAAGAGAAAAGGTAATCGGCAATTACATCTGCCTGCTTATCCTAAAAAATCAGAACTACAAAAGACAGATGTGAGTCACACAGTAACTTGGGTTGGTTGTACTGAAGAATCAAGGTCTAGGACTGGGTTCTCTGGCTAAGAAGCACCAAGGAAGGGCGCCTGGGTGGCTCAGTTGGTTAAGCGACTGCCTTCGGCTCAGGTCATGATCCTGGAGTCCCGGGATCGAGTCCCGCATCGGGCTCCCTGCTCAGCGAGGAGCCTGCTTCTCCCTCTGACCCTCTCCCCTCTCATGTACTCTCTTTCATTCTCGCTCTCTCAAATAAATAAATAAATCTTTAAAAAAAAAAAAAAAAAAAGAAGCACCAAGGAAGGAATGGGCCCACATTCTCTCTTGCCCCAATTTCTGCGTCTACGTGTGTATATATATACTCGCTTCCTTCAGACAAGCAAGACACGTATGGAAGAGAGAATTAAAGCAAATAAAATTAAAGAAAGGCAACACACATGCTTACAGGTTAACGAAAGAAAAGAAGCTGAAACCTGCAAGCCCGGAGGTAAGGAAAGATCGGGTCTCATCTTCCTCCCCGTTTCACCCTCATTCTTGCTTCTTCTCCCCTCAGAAACTCTCCCAGCTCCAAAAAGTGGAAGACGGTTTCTGGGAGCTTAGGTGAAGCAGGTCCAGGAGAGCGTTCACTCGCTCCTGACACCTGGTGCTGCGTGTTCCCCAAAGGTCTCCGTCCCCAGCTGGGAAGTCAAAGAACTTCAAAAGGGCGCAAGCTGCAGCCCCTGGGCCCCCTCACCTCGAGCCGACATTGTAGATGCTGTACTGTAAGGTCAGGTCTCGCCCCTCCACGGCGTATCTGTTCAGCAGTGACTTGGAGGCCAGCAGCCGCGCTCCGTCCTCTGCATGACTGACAGCAAACAGGGCCAACAACACCGATACCAGCAGCCTCATCTTCGGGGGAAACGCCCAGTGGGCGGCAACTCAAGCACGTAAGGCACCGCAATCTTCCCGGCAGCGCCCCCTTACCGAGTCTGGCAAAACTCTTAACCTCACCAAAGCAGCAGCCCCCTCCTCCTCAGCCAGCAGGGCTGACCCACACGCCGGGATCTCCCACCTGTCCGCCCCGCCGCCCTCTTCCCGTCGCGCGGCCGGGGAGCCACCGGCTGGTGGGGCCGTCCCTCGCACAGGCCTCCTCCGCCCAGCCCCCCGGGGCCCTCCCCACGCACCCTGCCCGCGCCCCACCCCTCCGGGCCGCCACAGCCCTTCCGTGGGTCCCTCCGGGGCTCAGCCCGCTCGGCCCTCCCCTTCTCGCCAGGAAGACACGTCCCCCGCCGGCGCGCCCCTCTCGTCCCCGCCGCGGCCGGGCGGCCCCTCCGCCGCCGGGCTCTTTGCGGACCCGGGCGCCACCCCGCCCGCGCCCCCGCGGCTCGGCGCTCACCGTGCGCACCCCACAGGCCTTTCGGGGGCCACCAAGACCGGAAGAGAGCGTCAGCGGCCCAGGGGCCGGAAGTGAGCTACGGTCGGAAGCCTCGGTGCTCCGCGCGATGGCTCCTGGGAGTTGTAGTTCCCGGCCAGGCCCCGCGTCTGGCTCTGCGGCGCCGGCGCGCGCTCTGGGCCCGAGAGCGCCTGCGCTACCGCGTGCGGCCGCCCGGGGCAGGTGCCCTGCAGGCTGGGTCAGCGGTCTGCGGCGTCCAGTGCACCGGCGAACTGCGAACCACGGGAAAGCTCTTCCTCTCAGGGCTGCCGCCATCCTTCCCGCTTCCAGGCGACAGACGTGGTGCTCCCCGCATCCAGGAAGTCGCCAAGCCCCGAGCGTCTCTTAGAAGCCCTTCGCCGTGCCGGCTCTCATCGCTTTGGCCCGTGCTCACCACCGATGCTGCGTTCGCTGCGGGGCGCGCCCTGCACTTTTCCGTCAGCTGCCGGGCAGATGCCCCCAAACAGCGTTCGGAAAAGGCTGCCTGTGGGGTTCTGCACTCGAGAATTCCGGTCTCAGGTGTGCCGCGCACCGGCAGGTGTCCCTTCCGTAAGGCCTCGGTTCTCCAATCTGTAGGAGGAGGTAATACAGCACTCTCCAAGTGGCGGAGGGCAGGTCTGACCATGTGTGTGAGACTGTGAGCACGTCGTCCGGCACAGGCACGAGCTTGCTGAAGGCCAGCCGTCAGTATTGCTGTTGTTCCGTCTGCCTTGCGGCACTTCTTCGCTGAGCACGCATTGACCGTGAGCCTTTTGTGCCGGCACGTTCCAGGTCGTGAGGTGCAGTGCCGGGGAGGACGGAGGAGATTTCTCCTTGCTGGGACTTAACGTTCTCGTGGAATGACACACGTTTCCTGTATTTGTTCTAGCAGGCCCTGCGTTCCGCACCTCCCAGACCAGAGCTCCTTGAGGACAGGTCGTCTGTTTGCATTGCCCAGCGCCATGCCTGAGCACGTGGTGGGGACTCCAGGAGCGAATGACAGCTTGTCTGCACGCACCCTCCAGTCTGCTTCTCTTTTCTTCTCCAGCCCATCGCTCAGGGCCGCGTGGCGGGCTAATCCCTTGGCTTTGCCAGACTACCTTGCTCTTTCACAGTACTGGACTTTAATATGCTTTGTCCCAGTTGTTTCTGGCCTGAAAAAGCCACCTTAATGATTAGATGCTATTTCTCCAGCGCACACTTACCCAAAGGCCCTACAGTGCTGCTGAGCACAAAGGAGGTGCTCAAAAATACTTGCTGATCGTGGGAATTTTATTCCTTTCCAAAGCATTGTTTTCATAGCAATTTCTCCAGGCTTGGAAAGATACGAAGTGGTTCTCAGACTCAGCTGCACGCAAAAGGCCTATATCTTCAAAACACACAGTCTAGATACCCTACCAAGAGCCACTCAGGATTCAGGAGAGAAATGTCTCCAGCCTTACTTTGCCCGTCTATGCCCCGACCCTCTGCCTCTGACCCTTCCAGCTGAGTCCCTTGTTCACTCACTGATACACTGAGCATCCATTTTGGGGGGCACTTGTCATGCACCAGGTGCTGCGATAGTCATTGTGGGAGATACAGAGATAGGGTATGGTATCTGCCCTCAAGACTTTAGAACCTAGTGATGGGGTGAGATATACTCATGGCCATAGTGAAAAGGCAAATGGAATGTCATGCACCCTTTAAAACACACACACACACACGCACACACACACACACACCCCAGCGGCTCGCATTGTCCATGGAATCACATCTCTTTGTCTGACAGTCAAAGCCCTCACTGTCGTCCCTACCACTCTCTGCTTTAGCCAAACAGACCACTCCCTCTTGCCCACTTTCTCGCTTTCAGACTTTTGAGTGCAAGTTACTGAGTCAACAATCGCTTTTATTGACTTCTTACTATCACCAGCCCTATGCTAGTTTCCAAGAGAACAAACATATATAATACGCACTTGGAAGAGTTTGAAATGGCGGGGGGCTGGCGGGGTTGGGGGACAGATAAACAGATTCATGACGCTGTCCTAAGTGTTCTGAGAGAGGTTAGTATGTAAAGGCCCTGGTCTGCCTTTACATTCTCTTCATTGTCTTTTTGATAAATAAGGGTTCTTCATTTTAATTATAATGTTCTCTAAAAAAGCAGTTGATACTGCCTGAGAAATCCTGCCTCTGGGTGCTTTGGGTGCACATGTGGACTGCGGACATTTGGGAAGGAAATAGAACATGACACCTACATCCACCACCGTCAGTGGTGAGCACTGTTCACTAAAGGGACATATATCCAAGTGAGTCTGCTTCACAAACCCCTTGGAATTATAGATTGCTTTTTCCTTTCTTTCTGTAGAACCAGAGAGAACCTTGGAAAATGCTGTGTTAACAGACCATTTCACCCCCAGCACCCTGACACATCCCACTGTGGATGGGAGAGTCTCAGACAAAGCCTGGGTTGGTGAAGACACATCGTCTCTGTCTACAGTCTCCCTATTAGAATCTATTCTGACTAGAGAGAGATTTCAACAATCAATTGCTAAGGGAAATGTTTCTGTTGAAAGACTTCCAAACAAATATGGTTGCTTCCTGCCATCCTCAAAGGAACCCCAAACCAAGAGATTGGGTAGAACCTTGTTAGGTGTGCAGGGAACCGTGTGCCAGGAACAGAGACGTGCAGGGCCCGTGTGAGCTGCTCACTGCTTTCTTGCCCTGTTCCCCCAGATAGTCACAACAGAGCCCAGTCTGCCCACTGGCCTCTCTTCCGGGATCTGTAACAAGAAGGCAACCAAGATAGTGTGTGGCTAAGCTGACAAGGAAATGGCTGGCTGCTTTTTGGCTGGTGGCTAGGCGGGCACCCGGAAAGAGCCTCACTGCCAAATCGAGGAGGCTCTGATGGGCATAAGCTAGCTGGAGGGGCATTCTGTAAGAGGTTATGGATTAAAAAGATCATACCACTTTTCAAGAAGCATCCAGAATCACAGCAATGACAGCAAATTCGCAACATTTTTCTTTTTTAGATTCATTTTTTTTTATTGTGGTAAATATATATCTAACGTGGGATTCGCCATTTTAACCATTTAAAATATACAGTTCAATAGCATTAAGGACATTCACATTGTTTGTTATAGAACCATCATCACCATCTCTCTCCAGAAATTTTTCAACTTCTCAAACTGAAACTCCATATCCACTAAACAATAATGCCCGTCCCCATCTCCCCACCAGCCCTGGCAACCACTACTCTACATCCTGTTTCTATGAATTTGACTACTTTAGGTACTTCATGGAAGTGGAATCACACAATAAACTCATTTTACACAAATAATTCATGCTGATATTCTCAGTGAAACAAAATCAAATACAGAAACAGTGAGTCTAAATGTCTGCATGCAAATTTAGATGCCCAAGAAATGTTGACTACCTTATTTTTCTGTAATCAAACCTAGTTTCTGTTTCCAGCCCTTTTTCCATAGAGTAGCAGCGACTTAATCTCTGTTAATGCAGGGACTCCCCGGTCATTTTCTTCAGAGCAGTCTCTAATTTTCTAGAGGGCTCCCGATGTGCCAGATGCATGGTGCTTGGTTATCAATACTTTTTTTTTCCTCTTAGCTATGGGATGTCCT